AAAAACACATATAAGGAAAGTAATGTGATATGTGAATATTCTTGTATAAAGATACATATAAGGAAAGTAATGTGATATGTGAATATTCTTGTATAAAGATACATGTAAGGAAAGTAACGTAATACGTGAATATATTCTCTTATAAAGATAGATATGAGGAAAGTATAATGTTAGTTCATTATGCTGATGAAAGGTTATGGGTTTTTATTTTCTTCAGAAACTAGATAGAACAATGATGATAAAGTCGGAATTGCCACACATGCATCAGTTAAAGTATTTTGTATTTACAATAAGATATTTTGTTGTTTAATTATATTTGTGTGAAACGTGTTTACTTCAGGTTGAATTTGAAGTCGAAGTGAAAGCCACGTCTTGTCCTTCAGATCCATCTCAATGGAATCAGACAGTTTTGATTTCTCCGGTCGGATTGAACGAGTTTGTACAAGTAGACATTGAGCTGATATGTGAGTGTGACTGTGAGAAGCCAGAATTCGAGGCAAGCAAATTATTTCCAAAGTTTACTTTTTATATGCAATTCTTTACTAATCGATACTTTAGTGAATTGTAGTAAATTTGATGGAATATTTTATCTGTTAGAAATAAGGGCACTGACTTAAGTGTAAAAGATATATTAACATAAAAAGTCCCATAAGAATAAGGGAATAATTTTATTTCCTACCTCATCAGATAAAGTGACTTCACTAAACAGTAAAATAGACAACAACAAAATTAATATTTACTACTTAGCGTAAAACTCGAAACGAAATGATGGTTTTAATCTGTTTCCAATCGACACATTCTTGAAATGTCATCCCTTAAAAATGAATACAACGTATTGCACCTGCTTCATCTCACATTTTGTAGCAATCTTTAAAACTCAGCCATTAAGTTAACCTCAGAAAACTTATTTTTTTAATAAATTGCACAAACAAACAGATGTAAAGACAAACAGGCTGTTAGATACGTAGGAAATGCCAGCTCTGGCAGATAAATGATCCTCTATTGATTATCCGTATAACTGAATAGCAAACCAATCGACTGACTTTATGAGCTATCTTTGATGAACACATGACCTTCAGTCACTGTTGATGTCTTAGAATATATATAGTGTTATTTAAATTACTGTTTGAAATAAAAACTCCTTTCTTATATATATAAAATTTAAGGAAAAAAGCAGTCCACGTTGTAGCAATCTAGGGGCATATAAGTGTGGGATGTGTTATTGCGAAGACAACCGTTTTGGAAGAGAATGTGAATGTACTGGGAACGACCTAATCAAACAGGAAAAACTTGATCAATGCAAAAAGTGGGTAGTTTTCAACTTTGTTTCTATGTTATAAGTCTGTCGTTTTTGTCCATAGATTGATCTATCTGACTGTTTGTTAGTTTCCTGTTTTAATGTGTTTTGTTAGCTTAGCTGAATAAAAAACACGTGTAATATGCTTAATGGCCATTGTAACTAAACGTACAGTTACGGAGACTTTTGATAGTTTATTGTTACACAGAAAATAAAGCACATGCTTAGTTGCAGTACGTAAGTGTGCTTAAGCCATCATATGTTAGTCCTCCTTTGCTTAACTAGCTATGCATGCTTTTTGTTTTGTCCAGCGATATTAGAGTTTAAAAATACAACTTATACAGTTGCTTGTGGTAAAAAAATATTTCCTCATAAACCACATACTTAAATCAATCTATTTGTTGTGTTGTCCATTTTCGTCATCTGATCAATGTGCTGAGTTGTCTAGCAGTCTTTGGAGGGTATGATAGAGATTCATAAATCATACATAATATTATACAGAGATTGAGTACGTTATATTAACATGATTTTGGAACCTCACCACGTCGTTACAGTCCATATTGAAATGTCCGGTCATGCTATATCTGACGACCGTGCATTTTGACAATATCCTTGCAGCGTAGTTTCTATTACAAAAGGTTTCATCATGAGGCTGTCATGTCTAAAGCACACCACTCCTCTGTGTGTGGTTTCAAGAAAGGCGGTTTCCCAGGTCTCGTTTCAATAGTCCATTCACACAGAAATCCACAGGCGCTGCACACGGCGACTTTACCAATATGTCTTATCATAAAATAACATGAATACTCGTTCCATTCTCCAACTGTTTGAGGAATACGACGGTTGAATGGGAAGTATGACTGGAACTCTTATCTTGATGAGCCCATACCGTATTGGTCTCGTTCCAAACGTAGATTACTCTTGATTATGGATTCATTAATTGGGATTCATGGGAGACTTTTACCGCTGATCATCTGTATTTATGTATTCTCAGCTGTTACAAGACATTACACTTTGTTTACCACATCTGGCATAAGATTTGTTGTAAGACTCTTTCTGAATGGTCCTGGTACCCCGAACTAATTTATATTCCCTTGTTTTCCAGTGTCTTGGAAGTTCTAAGTCCCCTATCAGGACACATTTTTATGATCTGAGTGTACAAATATGATGTGTGGGAAAAGGCTATTACTTACCGTTCCCCAAACTGATTACTTTTCGGTGGCATCACACTACTTCGATACGCCACATGACTAGCTGTTTGCGTATTAATAGTCGTTTTAATGTAACCTACTCAATCTTTTGTATACGTGTATCAAATAAATAGTGTATAACACTATATTTATAGGTGTAAGCTATTGACAAATAATAGACTTTATTATTGATAATATTTGGATTTGAAACAAAAAAATCACCTTTATTATACTAATGTCTTATGCGCAGGGGAAACAGTAGTCGGGTGTGTTCTGGTCAAGGTTATTGCGTTTGTGGACAATGCACCTGCCCACAAGTAAGCGTTTGGTTTTCATCTCTTACGTGTATACAACACTAATATCTTACATATTAAATGTTATTTGGATATATTCAAATATAAATGTAATTTAAAATGGCACTTGTGCAATATATACATATATACCGTTAAAAAGAGTACAAGGCTAAGATAATTATACGATTGTGTAATTACTTTGGCATTGTACTCTTTTTAGCTGTATATATGTATATTCAAATATAATGTAAATTTAATGTTACTGTTATTTTTTCTTTCTTGGTCTTGCTGAGTGTTTTACCTGGTATTTCTTGTGACGATTAAAATCAGATAGGTAGAGCTTATTGTTAGGAATATTGGACGTAGTTTGAACCAAAACAGTTTGCTCATTTGAAATGTCTAATGTGTATCACGTGAGACTTTATCAGTATGATTTTGTTTTGCTTTTAATCACTTAGCGTAAGCCACTAAGATACAATGATTCACTAATATGTGCTCTGAGTCACATGTAAGCCACTGGTATGTGATCTAAGTGACATACGAGCCATTGGTATGCACTCTAAGTCACATGTGAATCACCAATCATCGCTTATGTCCACCAACACTTGATGTATAAAAGTGACCTTTTAGTCATTTGACTTTTTAATTGCAAACTTTCACACTCTTGATCATTTTTAGAGTTTGTGTGAAATAGTTGCTTTAAAGCTTTAATGGTGAGAGATGTAACAATGTTATGCGTAGAATGAACGGAGAGAAACAAAAATCCTTGGAAGACATTAGTAAAAATGGAAACAGTTTCCACCAAAAAATATATATCCTTGGTAAGAATGATGCTTCTAATGAAAGTAGTTCGGAAAAGGGAGATACAACTGATAATGAAGATGTTCTAAGTGTTGATAGATCTAAAGGAAAAGACAACTTCAATTAATGAGATGGCTTTGATAATTATTGGTGTAATAAAATAGTTGTAACTTAAGACAAATTTTGTCTTACTCAACATAATCCCTAGTGTGCTATTTACTTACAAGTCATAGCAGATGATATTGAAAAAACAAACATTCTTGAAATTAATAAACCAATATCTGAAAGATATGTCCTGAACACAGCTAAACAATGGTATACTACGAATTTGGATATCTAAAAAATTGTTAAAGAGGTTGTCTAAAACGATTAACTTTCTGTAAGCAACTCAGACAAGATCACTTTCACAAATGCATCAAGACAAGTAAATTAATTAATGGACAGAGGTAAATGAGCTGAAATATTCTCCAAGGTGCAGTGAAAAAGAATATTAATTCAACTACTTGAACTAAAACTGAGTTAGTGTAAAGATATACAAAACAACAACAGTCACACACTAAAAGAATTTTAAATGTTTGTAAATGGGGTGTCTAAATGTCCCTGTGATAGCCGATAATCTCGTACACTTTAGACACAAAGTCCTGGAGTGAAATGAAACCACTCACGTAAACCCTATGGTGTGATCAGTTTTTTTTTTCTTCCGAACATGGTGTTCAATCTATTCAAAGTACCTCCACTTTTGAAATAATATAATACAAAAACGAATGATCGATTGTCCAGAGTCATGGAGCAGATCTTCTCTGATCCATTACGAATTAAGTGAATTTGATACGACCCCCACATTGAACGGTTTGGTCACATCATGATCATTTCTGTCGTAGATGGCTGTGCCTAGTGAAGGCAGTTCAAAATGGTTGTACCATGATTGGTACCATCAAGAAGATCTGCCTCTCATCTAAGATAGATATTTCAAATGGATGGCGTCATCTTGAACGATAGGATCAACCAGTACGGCTGCCTGGAATGGCTACAACAAGTATGAACATGATACACTACTTGGAGGCTATGACCTTCAACCATAATGTTGAAGCCCACTGAAGGATAACTGAATTTTACATCATAAAAGTCAAGATCAGAGGTTAAAAACTGTATTCTTTCACCATTACTATCAAAATCACATGATGAAAATGCGCATACAAACTTAAATAAAACATCTGGATAATCTTTTCTTAATGTTTGACATTTGAGAAGTACTTGATAAAATTTCCACAGTATTTAAAGGGCCTTCTATCAGGCTATTTTCCTATTGAATTAATTTTCTTAGTGTATACTGCTAGAATTCAAGTTGTATAATGCTCTATGAAAATTATAGATCAAATGTGCTACCTCTTACTGTCTGATTTTGGAAATGTACAAACACATTTTTTATACCGAAATATATCAACAGCTCTTAAAACCATATGTTTCAGGTTTAAATATGTTTGCTTTTCAAGTAAAATACTTCAAATATTCTGAGAATTGTAGATGAATATCTAAAGTAATTAATCATTCTTACACATAAACGTAAACTATAATTTTCTATCTTTTAGATAAAAAAATATATATATTTACACGTATTGTTGAATATGTTGTTTATTTCTTCTAACATTTTCAGCAAAAAAGTAAAAATATATTTGGTACCTTTTGTGAGTGTGATGACTATTCATGTGCAAGAGATGAAGAAGGAAAAATGTGTGGGGGTGAAAAGAGGGGAATGTGCTGTGAATCGCAATGTGTATGTAGAGCCGGTTGGAGTGGTAGCAGCTGCGAATGTAGCACTGATAATTCTACATGTATTTCACCTGGAAATCAGGAATCAAACTTGATCTGTAGTGGACATGGGATCTGCAAGTGTGGACAATGTGTCTGCACTTCTACCGATAAAGCCCGTTATGGTGGTCAATACTGCCAAGACTGTCCAGTAAGTTGGAATTGTCACTAGTTGTAAAATGTTTTGGCTTTCTTTGTCTGAGTATCTTATAATATATTTTCATTATTGATATCTGTCCTAAAACATCATTAAATATAAAAGATTTTTCAATATAAACTTTAAAAAATTAATTACTATAAAATTTTCCGCCTTGTATTTTATCAGTTTATAAATATCTTCGTTGTTTCATCAAACACTTTTACTTCTGGAATTTATAACACTCAAAGTTCCATTCCTTTCTTACTGTTGGATTGAAATCATTTACTGAAGAATTCTCTGATTTATTGTTAAGTAATATTGTCACATCCTAAAACATGTTAACTTCATTCTAAGTATTATTGTTGCCGTTCGCTCAAATTCAAATTTAAGTCAGTTATAAGTTGCTCCTTTGATACTTTCTAATCATCAGTTCGAAAGCTAGAGGGTAAATACACTTTTTGTATTGTTACATTCAGAAGAAACAATGGAAATATTTGATAAGATATAATCCTCATATACATCCATGATGATGGTTATATTACTTAGACACTTCTTCTTCGATATGTAAACAAACAATTAAAAACCTCAATAATAAACAATAAAATAGCTTTAGGCCTAAGCTTGTTCATTAATACGGCTTGTTACGTAATATAGATACGTCAATTCATCAAACATACTGAGCATTCGTTAGCATGGTTTCTTTTTGTTTTTAAATCGTGATAACGTACGTTAGTATTTCTGGTTCGCTTATCGTTGTTTTCTTCCTGTCTCTCTCCCTCTAAGTACCATTTCTGGGCAGGACGTTAGCGATTATGGCCTTCCAAAGATTATCATATTTTATTGTTTCGGGTAGGATGTTAGCGATCATGGCCTTCCACAGATTCTCCTCATTTATTGTTTCGGGCAGGACGTTAGCGATCATGGCCTTCCACAGATTCTCCTCTTTGTTGTTTCGGGCAGTACGTTAGCGATCATGGCCTTCCACAGATTCTCCTCCTTTGTTGTTTCGGGCAGTACGTTAGCGATCATGGCCTTCCACAGATTCTCCTCCTTTGTTGTTTCGGGCAGGACGTTAGCGATCATAGCCTTCCACAGATTCTCCTCCTTTGTTGTTTCGGGCATTACGTTAGCGATCATGGCCTTCCACAGATTTTCATCCTTAGTTGTTTTGAACACATCTACTTCATCCATTTACTCAGACTACCGATGAAAGTCAGTCTCGACCTACGTCTACTTCATTTCCCTTCAATTTTTCCTGTTATCGCTAAATTGTCTAGTTTGCCTTTTGTCATTACTAACCCATAAACTGGAGCCGTCTTCTTGTAATGGTTGTTATCATATTTTTATGTGTTCCTGCTCTTCTAAGTACCTCCTTATTCTTCACACGATCCGTCCACAATATCCTCAACATTCTTCTTAAAATTTCATCTCAGTTGCTTATAATCTCCTTTCCAAAGTTGGTGAAATTGACCAATATTCACTTCTAAATGTAAGAATCGGATATACATAATAATGTAGCACTCTTAGCTTAGTTGTTCTAACTGGCAAAAAGTTCTCTACATAATATGTGCATTTCTCCATTAAAATAGATTCACATTATTTTCTGAAAGCATAACATGTCGTTCGACTGGCATGATCTGGTGGTTAGGGCGCTTGACAATCTGGCAGTCGCTGGTTTCAATTCCGTCACATACCCACTTTCTCAATCGTTGAGTATCGTAATGTGATGGCAAATCGCACTTTTTATTGGTAAAAGAGTAGCCCATGAGTTGACGGCGAGTAGTGTTGACTAGTTGCCTCCTCTCTAGTCTATCACTTCTAAATAAGGAATGGCTGGCGCGAAATTCAACAAACAAACAAAGTATGTCGTTATGCACAGGTGGCATTTAATTGTTCAACTTAGATAAAATATGTATATCTGCTTGCTATTTATTCCAGTTTCCGAAAAGGTGCCAATCTAATGTAGGAAGGAACTTCTCATATTTACAGCTTGAGATTTAACTAATTATAATTAAGAAGGCCGCAAAATGGGTTTGAACTACACAGTCTTTCAAGCTGAATCCTTTAAAAATAATTCTAGATTTGTTTGTTTGTTTGTTTGCAATTGGCTATCTGTGCTCTGCCCACCACGGGTATCGAAACCCGGTTTCTAGCGTTGTAAGTCCGCAGACATACCGCTGTGCCACTTGGGGGGCATTATTCTAGGGCGAAAAGAACACAACAACGTATTTTTCTTCTTTTTCCGGATCGGGGAGTAAATTCAGTGGGCTTTATATCACAACTTAAATGTGCAAATAATGAATTCAAAATACATTTTACACCCAAAAATTAGATTTGAAAATGAGAGTCTTGCCTCTCTGTTAAATTACTGATATTTGTTTCAAGATTAAGAAAAATAAAAACATCGATTTGTTTTGTAACTTAACCATATTTAAACAGTGTTAACAATGATAATAATTAATCGTGTTAGAATAGCTTCTAAAAATATGTTTAATCATTTGCAATACTTAAAAGCAGTCTTTTTGCGCATTACTTATCAAAAGCTGTAATTAAACAATATGGCAGACAAATGTTCCCCTTCAGAAAACTGTGCATAAATGATTGTTAAATAAGATCACAATTACACTGGTATGTAAATTGTAAACAGAAAAAAGTGGTAAAAATTACATAATCTATAATCAGCTTTGATTAATATAAATGCTGAAATTTATCACAATTACAGTAAAAATATATTTTTAACAACTGCAGTGAATATCTTATATCTGCATGAAATATTCACATTATGTTTCTTATATCTAATTCACAAGATACATGCTGAAAAACTAACAACGATTTTTTTCTGTGAAGAAACATTTGAAAATTCATAGTTTCAAAGACTTAGAGAAATAAAAAACTTTTAAATATACATTTGAAACTTATCTATTTTTCAAGCTGGCTGCATCATTCCAAATTATGATTAGAACTGAATTAGAAGAGTATAACAAATGTTTAAATTATTTTCAGACTTGTGTTGGACGTTGTGAAGAATTTAAAGCATGTGTCCAATGCAAAGCTTTCCAGACGGGTTCTCTGAGTAATGAAGAGTGCAACAACTGTGAGTTTGAGGTTGTAAAAGTGGATACTTTACATGGTGAGTTGTCAAAAATAAGAATTATTTTGTGTAACAAATACTGGAAGGGGCTGTTGTAATATTCTATACTCCAGAGCATCTTTACGAGATATCTCATTAAACGCCCTTACTCTCATGTTGTAATTCTGTTGAAGCATGGTGATGCCTAAAACTGGTAAGGTTACCCGACTTGACATTCCTACGTGAATTGCTCCTGGTTTCAACGATTATAAAAACTTGTAACTCACGAAATTTTAGTATTGCGAAGAAAGAGATGTCTGTAGAGTTGAAATGCACCAGTAAAACAAAGGCTACTTAATGACCGGCTAACAGACAAACAGCTGATGTGAGGACCTCCCTTATATCTGTAAATAAGATAATTACTTAGGGTTTACAAAGCGAAAACAAGATGTGTTCACAAGCTTTTACCAAAGCACGTGGCCGAATAGCAGGCCAACTGTCGAAAACTGTAAAAGCAGTGTTTGGTATCTGACAAATGGTACTGTGTCGTCACTTTAAATGAAGCAAAGTCCGGGAAGATTTTAATCCTCGTGCTTGTGATATAACGAAGTTATATTGTTGCAGTAAAGATTACGACATGTTACCAAGTTCCTTTATCAAACGTATAAGTTTAAATTTAGACCTACGACATTTCGGGTGATTATTAAAAAAGTATTTTTAGTTCAGCACATTATATCTCACAAACTGTACATCATAAGTAGGTGAAATTGTACAGGGATGGTAAGAATATAATACTGATGCAAATGCCACAGTTGTCTTGTGTTACTACTAGGGTTGCCACTTTGACCTCTTGTTTGGTCAGTCACAACAACTGCTCGAAATATGTTCTCCCAGCGTTCAGAATGCATTGTATCTTTGTGACAAGGGACATTAGAGCAATGACACACATCTCATCTGGTATGATTGGCACATCCCGAACAGTTGTATTCTTGATGGTGTCCATATTCCGAACAGTTGCATCCTTGAAGTTTGGAATTGTGTGAGGCTTTTCACGGTACATACATACGGGATTTCAGGTATTCACACAGTCAGAAATCGGCTAGTGTTAGATCCTGTAAATGAAGTGGTCATTCACAAGGAAAGTGATATGAAATTGTTCTGCACTGATAGTTTTCCCTCAAAACGTTTGTCACCTTGTTACCAATACGTAGAGAGACATGATCCTGCACTAAAACCATAATGTCTATCATATTTAGTTGTTGCAGTAAGGGCATCATAGTGAGTAGTGTATGATACCGTGCAGTATTGACTGGGCATCATAGTACTTGTGAGTAGTGCATGACACCGTGCAGTATTGACTGGGCATCATAGTGCTTGTGAGTATTGCATGACACCGTGCAGTATTGACTGGGCATCATAGTGCTTGTGAGTAGTGTATGATACCGTGCAGTATTGACTGTCCATGTGCTGATAATTCTTCAAAAAAGTTACGGCCCAATAACAAAATCAGCTGCAAAGCACATCATACAATCATCTTAGCATCATGAAGATGTATAAAAAACATCCCATATAGATTAATTTCCGATCACATAATGCATTGTGCGTGATGGCATTCCCATAAAAGATGAAGTGTGCTTCATCAGCCTATAAGATATTGGCAGTCTGTCCAAGAACTGCAACACGAAATCAACATGTCTGGTTAAATATATCTTCTCTAGTACTTGAACATGATGCAACTTATAATGCAATATTCGCAAAGTTGACCGAAGAACCCCACAAATAGCCAAAATTCGCAGATTCATACATAATGTGCACTGCTGTACCCCGTGCACTTATATTGGCTTGTTATTATATGGCATGACTGGCCCCAACGATAGGTTTTCTAGGAGTCACTGGTCTGCTTGTATGTGGTTGATCACAAACGCAACCTGCCTCCTCAAATTTGCTTATGAACTTGCACACTGGAACAAAGCACCCTGTGGATGTTATTGTATTCCCAGAGAACACTAGAACAAAGTCTCCTATGGATGTTATGGTATTCCCAGAGAGTTGCCACAGCACGCACTTTTTGATGTAATAGTATTTCACCAGTTTACCTCTATGCACACGTTAATGTTGGTTGAATGAGCTACATTGCGATCGACATGGAAAAAGAGCAAATATATACTACAGTAGCACCCCCTGTGATAATATTTGACAACTGAGGCATTTACCTTAGCGCGATACTCTTAACATCCTGTGTAATTTCACCTTCCTATGCCATATGTATTTAAAGAAACTTAGATTTGACTATTTTATGTTTTAGTATGTAGCATTTTAGTTTATACACTAATTTTATTCCAATGAATAAAATAGTAAAACCACTGTTCATAAGATTTTAAAACATATTTTTCATTTAACATTTAAAAGTCATAAATAGGAATGTTTTAATAGATTTTTTTTAATTTCATTAATTTCTTGTTTATCTAGTGTCGTCAAAGAACAAAAGGAGGTGTATCTTTAAGGATGAGAACAAATGTACCTTTAACTTTTGCTATAGCTACTTGAGCAATAATCAACTCCTAGTCGAGGTACAGGAAAAACAGGGTAGGTTAGAACTGTAATTTTACTGAAATATTAGTACTAACGTAATTTGGAAAACTCGCGTATAACAAATGTATACTGCACAAATCCTCATTGCATTCTGTATGCCGACCTTTCTATTAAGACACCCTGAACTTTTAATTGCTAATAAATGAAACTTACGTTATAATAATCAACCACTGATTGGCCTCCGGTGGGGTCAAAAATGGACAGTGTTTGTTTCTTCCGAAACCCACTTGCCCTCAAGTGGCATAGCTGTATGTTTGCGGACTTACAACGCTAGAAACTGGGTTTCGATACTTGTGGTGGGCAGACCACAGATAACCCATTGTGTAGCTTTGTGCTTGATTACAAACAAACAAGAACGTACTTTGAGGCCTTAAATATGCTGTACATTCTCACAGAAACAGTCGAATTTAAACTATATATCAACTTGTTTTGTTTTGAATGTCATTACAGCTTAACTAGATATACACTTAGAAGTATTCAGCATAATTTCATAGGCAATTACGTATAAGTTAAATTTGTTCGTTGAAGTTTTAAGTAGTTTCTCTAATTGAAATTACACTTTAACAAGATTAGAAAAAAAATAAAGACAGTTGAAACTTTTATTGGAATCGGGTTCGAGTAGTTCTTCTTTCTCAAGCTTCAAATCTGTCAGTACTGCAATCCTACAGCATTAAATTTTGTTTTTAATATCTACACTCATATTTTTCATTTAACATGTTCACTTAGTTTTACATGTATTGTAGCTGATAGAGTAACTTTAAAGAAAATTGTTTATTTATTGTTAATATTTACTATTTATTATTTACTTGCAAGGTTAATGTAGTGCTAATTTGTATATTTGTTAAGCACAAACCTATTGTGTATTTGTTGTTAAGCACAAACCTATACAATGGCTATCTGTGATGTTCCCACCAAGGGTATCGAAACTTGATTTTTAACGTCATATGCCCTCAGATTTATCGCTGAGCCACTGGGGGAGGAGGAGGAGGGGGGCAATTGAAATAAAACTCTACCTTGAATAGCTTCTAAATTTCCAGTAACAGCTGTAACTTATTTTCTTATAATTATATAATTAAGGATTTGTTGAAGTATCTACCTATAAATATCATTTGGTTGTAAATAATATTTTAACAGAAATATATTTCGAATTAACAGTATATATTATGCTAGAAATGTTTAAGTACTTTATGTTTAAAATTAACAACAAAGTCAGAATTATTTTTTTCTTATCTTCACATTTGTAAAACTTTCCATACCATATATATATTCAATTCAAAGTTAATTATATCTATCAATAATATTTTAGCATAACTACGTTTCATATTGAAAGTTATTAGCACAGTAATCGAACAGTATGGAAAACTTTATAATCAAAATTCCCATTATTTTCCTGTACTAGTAATTCTAAAAAGAAGTTAATGATCTGATTGACAATTTTCAGTGTATTTGATACTATAGTGTTTGCTAGTGAGGAAATTAAATATCAATTAAGATGTTTAAAACGTCAACAAACTACCAGCGTTTGTATATAAGGGTTTGACGAAACAAATTGGTTACGGTAGAAGCCAATGTTCTTTACTCTGTCACCGGTAGAAGCCAATGTTCTTTACTCTGTCACCGGTAGAAGCCAATGTTCTTTGCTCTGTCACCGGTAGAAGCCAATGTTCTTTACTCTGTCACCGGTAGAAGCCAATGTTCTTTACTCTGTCACCGGTAGAAGCCAATGTTTTTTACTCTGTCACCGGTAGAAGCCAATGTTCTTTACTCTGTCACCGGTTGAAGCCAATGTTCTTTACTCTGTCACCGGTAGAAGCCAATGTTCTTTGCTCTGTCACCGGTAGAAGCCAATGTTCTTTGCTCTGTCACCGGTAGAGGCCAATGTTCTTTACTCTGTCACTTTAGTGTGCAGATATCACGCATTCTACTTCTCTTAATATATATATTGTAAAAAATGTAAATATTTCTTGAATTCTAGTTCAGGACCTGATACGTTTTATCTAAATTATGTGCTAATTTAGTCCTAGGTGTTACTTTTTACAGCATGAGTTGGACAAGTATGCTATCTGCTGTTAATGAAATGGCTTTACTGCACCAACAACACCATAACTGTGATGTTAGTTACGATTGTCTCATGGAGCAGAGATGCTTCCGGATTCTTATAATCTAACTTGTTATTGATTAGCTATGATAAAAATGTGGATAAGGAAAGCAGATTTCTCGCTTTTAGACAGATTTGTTTCGAACCATAAAAGGGTCAAATCGTGTTAGTTAATTATCGTCTGCGTTTTACTTCTTTAAGAATTAGTGTTCCTTATGACGTTCACATATGTAGATGTTCACATTTTAATTTAATACTCCAATTTCATTTGAATTAAAAAGTTTTCTTTCCATTTTACAACAGTTTTCATTCTCTGTAAATCCACTTTTCTTTCATTTCTAATTTATTTTAAAAACAGAAACTTCGGCTTCAATCCAACAATCCTGTCGCCACAACATGGTCAGCCATTGTTGTTAATAAAGTGCTTGACATCGCTTGTCTTCATGCTGAGTGTTGTCTCGTTCATAACTGGCAGCAAAGCACTACACTTGTCCTTCCACTTGTCTACATGTATGTATTTTTGAAACAGGTGGCCAACTCGGAATAGTAAATATCACCTTACAACATATACATGCTGGAGACAAGCGACTTATAAAGCAGCTGCCACACGGAGCTCCTTAAAGTACCCGGAACATAGACAGCACTAAAACAAAAGATATGCTGCATTATTTGCTAATATAATTTTTACACAATATGTTTTAGAGAAAGTTTTAAACAAGGTTAAAATATTGACATTTTGAAAATTAATTCTTGAACATAAATCACTTAGGTGTTTTGGAGCCTCACCACATCGTTACAGTCCATGTCGCTACGTCTGGTCCTGTTCTATGTGACGGAAGTGCGCCTTAACAATAACTATACAGTGTAGTTTCCATTTCAAAACGCTTCGTCGTAAACTTGGCATGTCTAAAGCAAAACACTACTCTCTGTACACTTTCCATAAGCCATATAGTGTATGAGAATGATAGTCTTCCATCACTTCAACAGCCCAATCACATAGCAGTTCACAGGCTCTTCATTTGGCGAATTGACCACTTCATTATCCAACTGCATGAATTACTCGATGGATCAATAAATATGGCGTAAAAGCAGCTTGTGTCACTTTTCCAGATAGATATTACTCTTTATTATGTTACGTAATGTTGTCTGGAGCACGTGGGCGAATTTTCTATTGACTTTTGTGCTGGTGGAATCTCACTTGTTATAATATGCTGTACTTTGCTTACCACAGCTGGAATAGACTTGTTTTAAGTCTCTTTCAGAATTGCTCCAAATTCATCCATATTTCTTTGCAAATTCTAACTCCCCAATTTTAACACATCTTTATGATCTGGGTGTATGAGTTTTTTGCAAAAGAAAGGGCTATTACATATATATAATTTTCAATTTCTATTTGTTTAGATTGTCCAAGAGAAACTCCTACGGCAAAGATTGTTGGTGGAATTGCAGGAACTGTTTTCCTAATTGGGCTAATTACTATTTTACTGTTTCGGATCTTTGTTCATGTGAAAGACAAGTGGGAATTTCAGCAGTATCAAAAAGCTTTGGAGAAAGAAAAGTGGGCTCATGTAAGCATATTATTTCTTATTTTTATACTTATAAAACCAGTCAACGTATTGTTTTTTTTTGTGAGTCACACATTCTGCAAAGGCTACTTTTGATTCTCAAATGCCAGTAACATTGATTTTTTAACATTAATTGAATTTTAGTAGTTTGTTTTATGACAAATACTTCTAGTTGTGTTTTACATGAGACAAGTATGGTTCAATGCATGGCATATCTAGACTGTGAATCCAAGTATTTATGGTTCGCAACCTGTTGTCAGGGGTGTGCTATAAGAATTACAGCCAAATCCAATTATTCCACCAGACAAGAGTAGTCAAAGAGTTTACGGTCGGTGCCCTTGATTAGTTACATCCCTTCTAATCATATCAGTTCAAAATTACGGTCAGCTATGTGCAGGTATTCCTTGAGTAGGTTTGCTTGAAATTCTTAACAAATAAAATATTTTATTGGTACTTCTTTTTATGTCAACGATGGTTCCTTTATCGAATTTTTATTTCTTTTATGTCAGTCATGAATCATTCGGCAAAAATTTTTGGTCCTTTGTTTTCGTTAATCGCTATATTTCAATGAAAACCAGTGTTATTTTGTTAGCCGTGGGTCTGTCGCCCAATCCTTCTGTTCATTTTGTCGACCTTGGATTTTTCTCCGAACGATTTTGTGTGTTTGTCATTTCAACAACTCGACATCTACTTCTCCTTTAGCCAGTTATCCTTTGCGGAATTTTTCTGCTTATTTTGTCACATACAATGTCTTGGCTACTGCTCCTTATGTTAAATACTTGTGGTTCTTTTTCGCTTGTCATGAATTCCTCTGTCAATACTTTTAGTTTTCTTTAGATCCTTTACCGAATGCTTGTTTTCCTTTTTTATCATTTATCAATCCCTCCCTGAAGAGTTAAATCAGCCATAGTTCTTTATCCTTTTCTATTTTTGTCATTCACAAATTTTTCGCTGGGTTTTTCTTTTCTGGGTCTTTTCTGACAGTTCCTTAGTCGGATCCACCTAGTTCTTTTTTCTTTCTTTTTTTTTTGCAGCTTAAGATCTTTCACTTTATATTTTTTCTTTTTTTCTCAGCTAAATGTCCTTTTCGAATACTTCTTTTTGTTAGTCAGAGATCCTTTGCTGGCTTCTAATGGTTAATTTTTTTACCAACAACACATCTTCTATAATATCATTCTTGTTCTATTTTCTCAATTACAGTTCTTTTGTGAAATGCTTCTGTGTGTATGTTTTGTGTTTGTGAGCCAAGTACATTTTAATGAAAACTTTTTATTTCAACACACATCCTTCACTAAACATTTCCAATTCTTTACTGTTGGTCATTGATAATTTGTCAAATAGTTCTAATTATTTTATTGTTGCTTGGAGATGTTTTCTTAACAGTTCTAATTTGGTTTTTATTTATACTTTTTCTATTAACCAAAGTTTATTTTTTGGGATTATTTTGTTTGTCACCCCTAGATCCTTCTTTGCACACACCCATTTTTATTGATGTTCTTGTTTTTCTATTAGTAACAGATACTTTCCACCTTCTTCCATTTCTTTTTCTGCGCCATTGATTCTTTACATAAAATTCCTTTTTGTTTTCAAGTCATAGATCTTTCATTGAATATTTCTGTCTCTTGCCTGTTACTTATCTTTCTGCAAGATATTTTTTAAGTCTTTGACCTGTTGCATCATCCCTCTATTTTCTTGTCATTCACCCTTGGTTTATCCTATGTCAGACATTCTTTCTTCTGCGGTTTTTTAGATCAATAGATTATGTTTTTACTTTTTATCTAACTAGTCACAGACTTTTTTTGGCTGAGTAATTTTGTTTATTTATTTTTAGCAATGTATATTTGCTCAACACTCCTCTTTCATTAAATGTGAATCATTCAAACAAGAAATGTTTGTCAACTCCTGGTATTTTTTACAATCATGAATTATTTTCAAGATACGTTTTTGTTAGCCACAGAGTTCTTTCTGTCAGCCATGACACACTTCTGATTCTTTTTGCTAGCCATGAAAACTTCACCAGATCTTTTTATCAATTATAGGTTGTTAACTGGATACTTTTGGTTCTTCTTTCAAGCCACTTATCCTTGTTGGGTATAGCTTATGTCAGGTACAGGATTTTTACCATATAATTCTGGCCCTTTTCTCCGAGTCATAATTATTAAATATTTAATACTTAATTTTGCTATACATCAAACCAATAAAGCCAAAAGGTGTTTCTGCAGCTTCATTGCCCTGTACTGCACCTTTTCATTAATCAAAGATAAGAGTCTTTTATCTGAACAAAGCCAGGAACTGTACAGAACTTGGAAAAGGGCTATTGTTAATTCTTCAGCAGCCAATGACCCATGAAGAAAGGATATACCTCAGATAGTTCGTCTCATTGCCGCTACCATCTAAGAGCAAGATGAGTATATTAATCCATTATTATTCCATTGGAAAACCTCGAAAATCCTTGGTCATTTTAGGCAAATAAAGTGTTATAAAGTAGCGTGAAATGCTTGGATTACAAACTAAGCCACAAAATGGGAATTCCTCAGTCTCTATGAGTCTTCTCCCATTACACTAGAGTAAGAAATAAGAGGAAATGAACTAGAATCAGAACGGTAGTTGAGGAAACCACTAATCTGCTCAGTCATTCTTTTTGTAAGAACCAATAAGATAAAGTTTTGCTTAATGGCATTGAACCTACTTGGGATCAGTATTGCTAACAAAGCTTTTACTGCAAATCTGGGAATATTAAAAAAATTGCGCATCCACTAGTTAACACACTGATAGTAACATTTACTTACATGGTCAAGGAGAAGTTTTATCTCCAAAGAGGACATGACAGAGACAGGATCTAATGTTGTGTAGTTCTCACTAACAGGCAGTAACTGATTTCTATTTTCATAAACTAGGCTTTTAATCAATTAAGTCAGAGTTAACCACTAGATGACCTCTTTTTCCCTGTGTAAATGGTACATGATATATTATATGCATACTCATATCTGAGCTCCAAAGTTTATCAGTTCTACAATCAGAAAACTAAAAAAAAGAGAAATACCATGATAATAGACAACATGGAGGATATACTGGACCTGCAATACAATCTGGACTTTAATCAAACTCCAAAATCTCAATTCATCTCCATAAAGTGTATAATGACCTCAGCAATCTAGAAAGAAAACGCGAATGGACGAGGATGATGGTAACTTGGGCCTACCGAAGACAGTGCCATATGCTCTTAAAGGCAAGCTTTCCTGAACAGCAATACTGAGTAGCCCAGTCCTAAAGATGAACATAATGATCAAAGCTGTTGGAAAGCCTAAGCATGTGATAGAATGTCCCATGGAGAAAAGCAAGGTTTGGTGCTGACACAAAAATGACATAATAGTTGCAAATCTTGTACTCGCAGAAGAAGTAAACCTTTTGGCTGAGTAATCCCATTTTCACACATACCTTTCAAGTCCCGTGATTCTGATCCTGTAGAATTTTGTGCTTTTAGTTGTTGTTTTTTCATGAGATCTTAAGAAATAACATCTAGGTGCAATGAAAGATATGTGGAATGTTGTCAAGGTGTTGATCTAAAATTAAACTTGTTATCTTTCACAAAAGCTTGTTACAACGGAAACTGTGATGTTATATAATAGTGCTTAATCATAGCCAGTCGACTGAGACCGACTGATGATGTGAGAAATAATTCAAAAAGCAGCAACGGACATGGAACATTGTATTCATAAGTTATGAATATAATAACCTTAGATGAGGTTACTTTGTATATTATGCAACTTCCAGATTTATTTTTTTTTGGACTTTCCACACAAAGCTATACAATGTGTTATTTGTGCATGAGTATTCCTAATTTTGAACTGATGTACTATAAGGAAGTCAGCTAATTATCAAGCACCCAGCACGAACTCTTGGGCGGTTCTTTTCTGAATGAATATGGTATTTTACCATCACTCTTGCAATGCACAAAGGGTTTCAAAGTACAGAACATGTTTTTTGCTGCAATGAGCTGCGAACCATGAAATTACGGATATATAGTCCAAGTATGCTAACAACTAAGCCATGCTCGAACCTCTTGCATGGGGCAGAGGCCCTTACTTTATTCTTGCAAACCAATGTGTTCTTGATATTGCATCTCACTCGGAGTAGCAATATCATTCATTTCGGTAATTAAAAAACACCAGAGATGAACAAGTATAACTTCATTCAGAGGGAAAATGATTGACGACAATGGTTTGTTTTTAATTTCGCGCAAAGCTACACGAGGACTATCTGCGCTAGCAGTACCTAATTCAGTAGTTATAGACTAGAGGGGAGACAGCTACTCAACACCACCCACCTCCAACTCTTGAGCTACTATTTTACCAAGGATTAATCGTCACATTATAACACCCCCACGGCAGAAGGATTAACAGCGAAGACCACAGTGTTTTCCTCCCTTTATTGATATTCCTGAAAATTTGAAAATATTATTAAAGTTATATACGAATAAGAAAGCACCTATTTTTCACCTGTCTTTGTATTCACTGAAGGCAAAATGCTTGTATTATATTCTTAGCTTTGCATAGACATTTATGTATTTGTTGGTAACAATATTGACTTTAATCGGGTTTTTACAACGCAGATAACAAATTTTACTGACATTTTGTTTTTATTTTACAGGATAGGAATCCACTATACAAAGATCCAAAACAAACATTCAAGAACCCCATGTATAGACGTAATGAGGGTGGAAATGAGGGTGACGTCAATCAAAGTGATGAGAGATACGTGTTTCAATAACTTTTTCCCTCACATAAACTGGATAAACTACCCAATCAATGCGCACTATTGATGATTTTTCATTATTAGTTGTAATGAAATATTTAAGGCATAAAATTTTGTCCTTGCTCGAAATATCAGATCAGCATTGCCAAGACTGTCAAAATCTTGGGTTATCCTAGATAATTAGTCTTTTATTCTTTTCTAAACTTCAGACTTCCAGTTTAAGAACACCACTTCTGAAGATTTTGTTGATTAAAATTTAATATTCACCAAAATGCTTTCAGTATTAAATAATGCTTGAAAGTATTAGTTAGAATATGTACGATTCACAAAGAATAATTAATAAATAATTTAATGATTATATATATTTTACAGATTTCTTTTCTTTTTTCACAAAATAAAAAACTAAAAATAAAATCAGTGACGTGGAGGTCTAATGTATTCCTTGATTGGCTTTTTTATTACTGCTGTGGACTGCAATTTCCTCTGTTCGTGGCTCATTTTCACAGCTTTGGTTAGCAAACCATAGAAATACATTTAGGATTCTTACAATAGTGATGTGCATATAAATTTCATGGTATTTTTGAGTCATTTTTCCCACAAAAGGTCTCGTATTCTAAAAGGTTTTGTTTGATTGTTTAAAGGCAAAGCCACATTGGGCTATCTGCTGTGTCTACCGCGAGGAATCGAACCCTGTATTTTAGCGTTGTAAATCCGTAAACTTACCACTGACCAACTAGGGAAATATTCTAAAAGGAAAATTAGTAAATGTTTCATTTTACACACTGTACGAAACAAAATGTCTCCTCCTTTTATTTCTATGTCGAGAAATTATATTTTATCAAGTTGGTGAGTCCTACTTGACATATTGAAACAGTTATTGAAAAACCTTGTTTTAAAGTACAAGTCATCGAACTGAAATGTCGTAGTCATTTCTTTTGAGTATTCTTGTTGTTTATATTGGTTTGAATTACTCTAAAAAGCGATACCTAAGCAGTTTTCAAGTTTTACATCTTAGTTTTTAATTTGAATTACGGTTTATGAACAGACAATTGACAAAGGTGACAAACTAAGACTAAAAATTATAATATTTCTTACTTAATGTAAAATAATTCAGATTTACCAACTATCAGATTTACCGCAAATTTTAACTGAATTTCGTGAATAAGCGAAGAAAGAGATGGTTGCATTTATCTCCCTTGAACCATTATAGTGTATACAACTGTATAGTACAGTTGTATGAAATGATTCGCTTCTATTGGTTGTTTACCAAAACAGTGGTAATAACCATAAATGATTTTTTGTATTGTTACAGCGAATAACATAGGCCTGCGATGGTTTTACAGTAATTCCTGTACGCAATCCGAAAATGATATCCCTTTTCTTTATCACGTACATATTTTTCACAAAACGTCATATGTACTTTTACACAAGTGAATCATTTTCATTGAAATCGGGTCACATTTTGTTTTGCTTAAAATGTCGACAAACACCAGCTATAGATTTCTCTAGATCAATCGCGACGTGCGAGTCCTAACGATCGTTCTAGAACCCAAACATAATAATAAAAAATGTTCATTATGGTAAACGAAATGATAATTTGATCTAAGTAAGAGTTTTTTCGCATTTGTAAAAAGATCTTTACGTGACAGAAAAAAAAAGAATATTATTTTCGAAACCTGCTTAGCTGAATTATGGAAAATCCCTATTATAATCAAAACAACTTTTATCAAGTTTAAATTCGCAGGCCTGTGTAATTAAAGGCTTTCTTAAAAATAAACTTAGAATAGATAAATTTAGAATATCTTTCTTAATTATACTACACCCAATATTAATCATTAACAAGAAAATGTTGCTATTTCTACATTTTGTTTGAGGAAACTTCTCTCTTCCGAAGACACTCTTTATCCTATACATATGCATACATCCACAGAGACCCACACTAAGAACGATGAGCTTTCGTAGCTCCGTTCCTGAGTAACAGCAAGTAAAATCCACTTACGATACAAAGAAATATCAAATTTTTAACATTTTTCGTCTCTACCTCATGAAATCTCTGGATTTCTCACACGACTAAATTACAGCTCACCTAACCACTCAGTTCCCCCCCCCCCGATGGCTAAGCGGTTAGCTTGAGGGCTTATAACACTAAAATTTTAGATTTAATCACTTAAGTGGACACAGCACAGATAGCCCATACTGTTGCTCTGTGTTTAACAATAACGAAAACATAGTTGATTAATAGATAGTCACAAGGACACTTTAGCCGAAACTGATTAACATCTGGTATCGCACATATAATCTTACTATGTTGGTCGTTGAGAATTATCGAACATCCTAAAAAAAGCCACCTCATATGCAACTCATTTGACCTTTCACAACCGTAGAAGGGGAAACCAACCCTACTATTGGTTGATAAATGGAATTAAGTTTTAGGTACAAAACAAAGGACCTACATCATGAAAAAATATTGTCATAACTGTTGTATTTTATTAATGATACCGTGGTTTGTGTTATGAAAGGATAAACCAACACTGCTAAGGAAATCTACTTAAAAACTAATCTTAAAAATTGGTAGATCATTCGAAGACTTACTAAGAAATATGTGATTTATTATAACGGCATGATAATTTAAATTGTAACATTTAAGAAAGTTCTACATCCCAACAGATCAGCTTCCTAAGTTTAACTACTTTTTTCTTAATTTGACTCAATTAATAGATCGCAAAATTTTTACGATCGCAAATATGTCTCAGGCTTACTTTACCACGAAAAGTGAGTAATATGACAATTCCCCTGAATTCCGGAAATTTGTCCTCTAAGCCTAAACAGTAACATTATATTGAAATGTAGCTTAATTTTGTTTGTTAAATTTCACGCAAAACTACTGGGGGGTTGTTTAATTTAAGTAGTATCGCAAAAGTAAACATGTTTTCTTTTATCAGATCAAGCCTTAAGCTTCATATATAACCCACGACTTGTAGTTTTGTGTTTTTTTGTAGTTCACATTTCTAATTTAATGTGCAGTAGCTGATAACTGAAGTATAGTTCACACACTTCTAATTTTATGTGCAGTAGCTGATAACTGAAGTATAGTTCACACTTCTAATTTAATGTGCAGTAGCTTATAACTGAAGTATAGTGCACACTTCTAATTTAATGTGCAGTAGCTTATAACTGAAGTATAGTGCACACTTCTAATTTAATGTGCAGTAGCTTATAACTGAAGTATAGTGCACACTTCTAATTTAATGTGCAGTAGTTTATAACTGAAGTGATAAGAGGTTTTGGTTATCCAAAGTCCACTTTTAGTTTTGTTTTCAAAATGCTTGGGTCCTTTATATAATATTACTTGGCGTTTGGCATTGATATCATGAAGAGGTTAAAATTCACCCTAAACATTCTTCCACTTTATGAGAAATGATTGATTGTTTCTAAACCTGATAAAATAATGATATTCGTTTAATGTAGGGAAATGATTGATTGTTTCTAAACCTGACAAAATAATGATATTCGCTTAATGTAGGGAAATGATTGATTGCTTCTAAAGCTGACAAAATAATGATATTCGCTTTATGTAGGGAAATGATTGATTGCTTCTAAAGCTGACAAAATAATGATATTTGCTTAATGTAAATATAAACTATCTCATCAGTGACAATCAATTGGCAAGTTGCTGAACACCTATAATGGGTCTAATTGTTCTTCTGATCAGTGTAAATCTCGGTAGAGTTCAAAGTAAACGATTTTACCACAATGAGCTCTGTAATTCTACCATTCTAGTACTGAGTACTGGTAGTAAGTGATCAGTTATTTGTATTCATGATAGCGTTCACCAGTCAATCAGATTATGAGTGTCCCCTTTTTGTAGCAAACGTTTAGTAACGGGATGATCCTGTGATGTAAATGGTGCTCTGGAGAGTAAACCAATCATAGTTCAGAATTCTAACACGGTTACCTAGGAAACTGCCACACCCAGAAATGCCCCGAATAATATTTTATGGGTGAATTTCATACCTCGAATTCGAAAACCATTTTTTCCTATTATGTTCTCACAGAGTATTGCATCAACCACCTAAGAATTAACAACGTAACTTTATTTACTTACTCGTTATGACTTACATAGTTCATTAATTTGGTAGTTATTTTCGTCGACGATAGTGAGTTAATTGTTTGGGTTTTGTGAAATAACACAATATTTTAATGAAACATCTTTGCCACATTGATATATTCGATGATGTATATATATGTGTGTGTGTATACATGTATTGTGATGTATTATAATTTCAAATACCTGTAGCCTAAAACTGAATTAAATTGTAAGTTAGATTTAGTAGTTAATAAATACCGATATGTATCGAATTTATTATATTTACCAACAAGATTGATACACACAGTTTTCTTTTTTAATACAAAATATATTTTAATATACAACCAATAATACAATTTACAATAACAGTTATTACAAATAGTTATTACAAACAATGATTTATATACAAAAGTTTTACAAACTTACAAGCAATATAAAGTCTTCTTTCTAGTCTGGAATTTCCTTGATATCTTATCGAGGGTTGACGACGAGCGAGTTAATTTCGAGTTAACGTAGGTACAATTCACTTACAGGGAGCTAGCTAGCTCTTAGGTCTTCACTGATTACACGCCGATTGTTTCTCACAGATGAAGTTGGGCAATGTTTTCTTAAAAGTATTAATGTCCGATGTGAATCCACTGAAGTTAAATGGTTTGTAATGTTCGAAATTTATAAATGTTCTTGGTCAAGTACCTGAAGCTTCCCGATTAATAAGCGTTAATCACAATTATAGCTTCCGAGGGTTATAGTATACCAACTATAGCAAACCAATAATAGATACTGTGTTTTGGCGTGTCGCGTTGGTTATATTTATAGGCTTGGGGAGAGTTTCTCGAAATTTCAGTTTATGTAATAACAATACTGACGCTTACACTAGCGTTTACGTACACACATATATCATTGATTCTTACACTCGAGAATCTTCTACAACTTTAGAGAATAGGCGAGAATTTCGCAATACACATTTAACAGTATAAGTTATGTATATTTATAAATATAAATTTAACTTAAACAAATATCGATATTAAAAGAAATATATAATAGTATATCCATCACAATATATATTCAAATGTGTACAGATCTAAATTTGTTAAAAGTTCTGTATTGAATGGAAGACTAATCACAGAATACATAAAGGTAATACAAAAAAGTTATTACATGTGTTATAAATATTGTTATGAAATTACGCAAAGGCCTGTTTGTTTGTTTTTTAATAAGATAATATATACTATCATAATACCAA